TTTAGTACGCGGAGCAATCTGTGGAGCTGGAAGCTGAGAACTGGCGATTTTGGAGTACAACTTTCGTACATTATGCCCCATATTGCGGACGTGCGACAACCGCTGGTGTTGTTGGCTAGTTGTGGCTGCGCACACCTGTGTGCACAATACCTCGTACATCCGTCGTGCACATCACTCTCTTACACCTTCTCTCCCACCCCTCTGTTGTAGGAAGCTGATATCACTTCCTGACAAGGCCGTGTTGTAGAAGCTATTGAAGCTCTGACTGCTTTGTGCTTTAGAAACTTAAGATTCGTAGATTCATATGTGGGGTTATCCGGTCCTTTAATTTTGGTGCGATCCAATTCTTCTGCGGATGAAACGTGCGTCTTCACTTGAAACCATCCAGTCTGGTGATGTCTGAGATTGGCTTCGGACAGATGTCCATTGAATCTGTGGATTTGGAGGATTCATTCCAGTTGAAAGCATCTATCAGCATTCTGCCCGCTTAAAAAAGAGGGCGAGAAACTCAAAACTCGATGGTCTAAATTTGTTTCGATGTTCGCTGGCGCCCGTTTGAGTCCTTGCGTGGAAAACGTGAACACCGATGGAGCTGATAGAATCCGTGGCTTCTCAAACCCCCCAAACAACACCAGGGCGACTGGTTCAAAGGAATGAATCTTTCGGGGCACGAGGACGGAAAAGGACGGAGGATGAACAGCGATGATTTGGGCCCTCAGTAGCCGAGGAGCGATGATTTGGGTGGTTTCGCCTCAGGTTCCAATACAATTTGAAAGAGATTTACCACTGTTCTATCTCTATGTGGGAGTTTTATTGTACTGTTTTATCGATTTGGGGATCCAAACATACCTGTCATCATCTCCTCTTCACTCCTCCAACCCACAGCAACCGCCGGCCGAGGCCCGAGCGGCGGACGCCGGGATCCTTCCGCACTTCGCCGACGTGCTCGACTTTTTGGCCCAACAGATCCGACAACCAGGGGTGCGGCTGCGCAGCCTTTCGCCGGCTCAGCAGAAGAGATTCGGCTCAGTGATGTCTGTTCGTGCGACGCACGCGCACAGAATGGGGTTTGCTGATGTTCTCCGTATGAGGGGTGGGGTTCTCTACGTTCTCCGTGGTTTTATGATGATGATGATGAGGTGGTTTGGGGAAAGAGATTGATGGGGGAACGTACTGGTTAGGTCTCGTGTTTGGAACTATACCACAGTCTTCGACCACGCATGACTCTTCAAGCAGCCCGACGTTGATGATGAGGTGTGTTGGCGCACTATCCGGATGGACATGAACCGGAACAGGGGAGTCAAAAGTCCTTGTTTTGTCAATTTCAATTTTGTGGTTCTTCAATGCATGGTGGAAACTCCTAGAAATTGGTCATATCGACACCCTAAGACTGGTAACTCAAGTCTTTTTGCGGACGCCATTGTCCTTCAACACATGGTTACCTTCCCCATGAAGTGCTATTGCCAATCGACCCGCTCCTTGATGTGACTGAAGAGGGTGAGGGTAAATGCTTTAGGGTGAATGCCATCAGCAGCTGAAGAGGTCAACAATCCGAAGAAGTACAGCACATGAAGAACATGGCTCAATTATGTGAGCATGTGGTACATTTCAAGGGCAATTTGGCTGCTCTTGGACGTTTCTTTTTTCTTTCTTGCTCAAGAGGAAGACGACAGAAATAGCCGGCATAGCGGCATAGCCTTAGAATTGGTCAAGCTCTTCTCAAACAGCCCCTCAGAAGTCTCAGCTGGACAAAACCATTTTGGACCCCTAAGACTTCACCAGCCTCTCGTGGCACCGGTCACCTCTCTTTGCACCGAATTCGTTGTCTTTCTCGTCGCAGCCCAGGAATTTGGCCAAGTACCTCTCGAAGCAGACCTGCGAACAGATGCTGCTGGCCACCTGGGCTGCAGGTAGCTGGAGAAGTTCTAGTGAGGCAGAGCTTGAGGTACCAATAATTACCCCACAGGTTTACCTGGAGAAGTGGGGGCCCCCCAAACATGTTCTGAAGAGAGTCCAGAAATCAGCCAAAACCAACAGTTCATTCTTAGATGTTCACCAAGAGTAGTGAACATCTTGTTGTCTAGTGTTGTGTGTATCCATGTATCTTGGTCCGACCCCAAAATCAAGGAGTACATCGTGTACAGTCCTAGCCCAATCCACCCAAATGCATCCCTTGTCACAACACTTTTTCTTTTTGCACTTCTTGAGCCATTGGACGAGCCTGCGAGCCAGGCTCTGGCCTAGCTTGCAGTGAAGTAGGCACCAGATCACTTCTCACCAAAAACCACCGGAGCAACACCGCCACTGAGGCGACCTTGACCACAGCTGGAGTCGATTGGGGCCGGAGGTCTCAAGTCTCCCAGCGCTTAAAAGCCATCCGGCAAGCGCTGAAATGAGCCAAGAATTCCATGGTTTGCCATAAAACACCTGCATAAGAATTGGAAGTATATTGGAAGATGCCAACCATGTCGTCTACAAAACGGCTTTTCAGTCATTCTAGTACACTTGCTTTGGACGAGTTTGTGTGTGTGTCAACCCCTGTTCTTCGCTAGCTCTGTAGTTTTTCCGGATTTGATCAGCAGGGCAGTCCCACTTGTCTTCCTCTTTGCAGCGGTTTGCACCTGCCGCTCCTCCCTTGTCTCCCCACTTGTCTCACGGGCGGGAAAAGATGAGCTTCAGTTTGAGTTAGTTGCTATCTGGGGTCTATGATGTCTATGCTGGTGTATGTGTTTCTTTCTTTTTCGAGAGATTTCCTGGTGGATCATGGTGGGTCCACATAGGTCCACTATCCATCCCTGAGGAAACAAACACCGACGTGTTGAGCTCTTCCTTTGTGAGCCTTTATTTTTTCGCAAGGCTCAAAGGCGCTCGTCATAATGAGAGATTTAGGACTTTAATATGATTTACGACATGAAGTCAGTGCAATTTGAGAGATTGGAGTCAACCGGTGTCTTGCATAGCAAGAGGCGTTGGCCTAGTGGCTATGCGCCTGGCTCTTCGCAGGTCTGGCGCATCCAACTCAGAGAAGATATCGTTGGACCCATCCATCTCAGAATCGATTCGTCTGGACCCCGCATGGGCCAGGGCCGACTCGTCTCTCCGTGGGCCGGTCGCGATCTGCGACCGCAATGCACTGCGAGCACTGGTCGTCTTCGGTGGTCCTACTCCCCTGCAGAGGAGCACATGACGACCCCCAAACCGTTGGGTTGGTAAAAGAATCGAAACTACCGGTCAATTCTCAGGTTCCATGTTAGTTTGTGGGGGGTATATATAGGAGGCTTCTCGGCCGTACATATGCCTGTAAGTCTGGAAAGGCTGCAGGGTTGAGACGTTGACCGGAGACGACGCAATACTTAGTACATTCATTGGGCAGGATTTCTTGCTGAATTTCTTGCAACTATAAGAATCAGCCCTATTTGTCGCTGGTGCAGAACTATAAGATCACTATTTCGATCTTCAGAACTTGCTCGGGAAGTCAACCAGCGCGGTCTGTGGCCATGGTTCCGTGGCGATGGTTCCATGGTCGGTCCTTGCTTCGTCGCGGAACCGCGGGCTCGTGCACGATCCCAGATCCACCTCGCGTGCCTGACCAACTGGTCCGCATCCGCGGGGTGGCGCCGCGACGGTTTGAGGCGTCTGGGGCTCAAACGCGAAGGTTCACTGGCGTTTTTATGGTGATCGATTACTATAACCACTGGCTATAACATGCTATAACCACTATTGGATTACTATTGTGTGGATGTGGGAGTAACCCAGGGAGTAGCCTATAGAGTAGCCTTTTTGCAGCTGAGAGCAGAGTCAAGAAGGTGGGGCCACCAGGGTGTTGCGGCATCGTCAGCTGTCGGTTGAGGTGAACGATGGTAGAAGAGGGGGATCACCCATGATCGATGAGCTTTGATTCTTCAACAAAGGTGTATGTGCACTGAGATTTTCATCTCGGGGACTGGAATAGTCACACATATATTTACCCTACTGATGACCCTGATTGCCCTAATGTAAGTCTATAACTTTTCCAGTCCCATGGATGGTCTGGGAATTAGAGGTAATACTTTTGACCAACCATGTGGCCAGCTGAACCCGAACCCGCGCGTTTCGCGCACCGTCATCCGCCGAGCTTGCACGGGGAGTACAGCCCGCGTGTAGCGCGAGTGCATACCGAGAATCCTTAGATGGGGACTTCTGGGCTGTTCTTCGCTCACGGAGCTGGGGTGCAGAAGAGGAAGATCGTGAAGAGTCTTTGGCCAGAGATCGCGTTTCCAGTGCATGCGGGTCAGCACTGACCAACCACATCAACCCTTGTGTTCATTTGTTTGTCGTACCCCAAGTGGCCCCAACATAAACGAGAAAATCATAGATCCTCACACCAGGCTGGCTGGATTTGGGGACAATTTTGTCCGTTTCCAGGGCGTTCTGCCCAAAGAGGCCACCTAGACTTCGATCGTGACGAAAACGGAGGCCACAGGCTTCCAGCGAACCATCACACGATCGACATCACTCCCGCCGAATGCGGAGTGAAAATGGAGTGATCACACAGAAGTCGCTCCAGCGAGGTCGGCGGCCCACTGGCCGACCGACCTTTCTTTTGGACTGCAGAAATGAGAGAAAGACGACGTTCGCTGCCTGGGACCCAGTTGGTGAAGAATTTGTGGATCTCTCTTCACACCAAATAGCCCCTCCTTCCGAGAAAGCTGGGGGGGTTCTGGAGTTCTTCAGCAAAGCCTATCAAAGCCCTGCAGAGTTGCAGAACCCGACCCGCCTGCTTTGGTCACCATAGGATCCCACTCTGTAGGGACGGGTGAAAGAAACCCAAGGAAAACGTCCCATCCTTCGTTGCCGCGCCAAAGCCACGCTCACAAAAGCACCACGGGTGAACTAACCCCCCCACGTGCTCCACGTGCTCTCGGAGGGTCGTTGTGTCACTACACTCTGACTCACTGGAAGTGGAAAAGGGATGAAAAGGGTACTTGGACGACTACGTTCAGTACAAATACCAGGGGGTCTTCCACTTCCCATGTGAGTGAGCCGGAGAAACGTGATTGCAAACCATCCCATGTTTTCGTCTCTCACCAACGTGGTGATCGACAGACGCTTTCGAACTTGGGGGCCTCACATTTCGCGCCGCCGGCGGCCCCAAAGAGCTGGGCGAGTCGGGCCAAGCGAGGGGCGAGTTGGGACCGTCGTTCTGAGGCTCGACCTATAGCTACTTTTTCAAGGCCACAGAGACCACCGACACCAAGATGAGGAAGGGAAACAGCTCCAGGGTGTGCAGAGAAGACATTTTCAGATATATGGAATATTTGCGTAGGTGGATCGTTGGGTATGTAATGGTATGTATGTCATCTACAATTTCCACTATATATAGTGTTTTCATGATATCAACCAATTGCGTGCGGAAGCAATGCTTGCAGTGTAGGGATGGCCGGTGAGATCGACAGCAAGGAGAACGGCTCTCTTCGGACGACCAGACCACCGGATCCACGGTAGATCATGCGGATCCTCTGATCCAGAGAGGTCAAGTGACCTGAACTAGGACCCTACCATAGGGTACCTATGGTATAGTCTATAGGGTCATTCAACCTTTGTTGGTGATGTCCTTTGGTCTTTAACTGTGCTTCAGTGCTTCAGGGCATTGAACAAGAGACCAGTGAGGATACCATCCGGCTTGATCAGTTTAAACAAAAAGAACCGTCTCATCGGCTGAAGGAGCGGCTGCAAAACGCCCAAATACCTTTGTTCGTCATGGTCACATGTTGACCTGTGGGGGTGGTTCTCAGTGAGGTCCAGAACCTGCAGGTTTGGTTCACAAGCGTTTCCTTTTACAGAGTTTTTGGCGGCATCCGAATCTCACGCCGGAAATTGGGGTGTGAAGTTTGAACCAGACAGTCACCCTGGCCCAATGGGGAGTCACTCTATTTTCCGGACTCCCCATTGGTTGGATCGAACTGAGAGGTCTCCCCTTCATGGAACGTCTGCTGCTGGAAGCGGTCCTTTAGAGGCTGCAAAACGCAAAGGACGGCAGACTGCAGGCGGCGGCCAACCAAATCAACTCAACTCACAGCGGTTGAAGTTGGCTGACCTGAAGGGCAGGGTGCTGAATTCAACCAGTGACGCTGTAACAGGCAGCTGCATTACTGAAGTGTTTCCCTCAGGTTCTTGCGAGCATATGCTTGAAATCAAGTTTTGACCAGCAACAATTGAATGCTGAATTTGACCAAAAGTCTAAGCTATTTATTATATGGACCGGAGTTTTGCTAAGTGGACGCTGCAGTACTAGAGTACAGCAATCATTTTTGACCCCTCAAAACTCTTTGCTCGTATTCATAACATATCCCATTTTGCAGTGCTCTTGTCAAGAAGGATCTTTGGATTTGAGCCAAGATTCCTCAGGCGGTTACTGTACAATAGATCAAACAAGGGAAGTATGGTGCCCCCTCGTAGCATGTGCCAGCAATAAGTTATGGCTACTTTACCCGATGTTGCTTTCTTTTCCCACTTCTGTACGTACTCTTTCCAACGGAGCAGATGCGTTCCTTTTTTGGGAGCGCAAAGTGGACATGACATTTTATGGCACCAAAACGCAGAGTCGACGCATCGAAGCAAACGCAGAGTCGACGCATCGACTCCCACGTCTGTTTTCGGGTCGCTTTTTCTCTGGAGCCAAGTGTGCTTGGAGCCGGACACGGCTCGTTCCGCCGCCGACGACCACGGAAAGGAACCGAACCTGGCCAGGTCCGGAACGGTTCGGCCCTTTCATCATTGGTTGGTGGATTCTCTTGGAGGGGGATACCCATGACAGTACAACATTGTCACAAATATATACAGTAGGTCTTTGGTACCAAACCGACCCCCTCTATTCCCAAATGGGCATCGCAGGCCAGGTCTTGTTACACTTGTTACAAGGTTCAGAAGGCTGTATTCGCGCGGATTGGGTCTGAACCGCCCGAATTCCACAGGCCGAGAAGATCTTCTTTAACTCTTGCAGCTGAAAGGGGCTCGGAGTCATGGGCATGAGATGTGGCTACAAGACTAACATGTTGACCAGCGAACATCAGAGCAAAGCCCCATCAAAGACAAACAGAGCGAAGCAGACATTGGAGGATCGAGCAGCATCAGCTGATGAGCATGGACGACGAACACCCAAATCCAGGTGCAGAACATGTGACCATGGCGGATAAGATCTCTTCGCATCGTTCGTGCTGAGCGCATGCCGCGTGGTTTCTCCGAATGGAAAGAGCAGCAATTGAGCATCGAGTGCTCTTGCGCAGTCGCTGGGAGCAGATGAGTGGATTGGGAGACCTCAGTCGATGTTTGTTTCAAAAAAACATGCATTCAGAACGTTTCAGACATGTTCATCCCCCAGTTTTGTTTTTGTTGAAAGAACCCTTAAATGATATCTTGTGGTCTTCATCATCTTCTTTC